TCCTATTTTTTCTATCTTAGATTCAACCTTTTTATCCTAATATTATTCTGTTTTATTTTTTAAGTCGATAAAAATTAGGATATAGACAGAACAACCTGATTTCAACTTCATAAATTTATTTGTTTATATCTAGTAATAATAGAATAAGGTCACCATTTATATAAATTGATTAATTTTTCAATAATTTCATTTATTAACAATTAAAACTGCTACAAATAATTAATGAAATGTTCTTTCAAATATGAACATAGTAAATATTATAATAGCTTCCATTATAGCCAGACTTTTTGTAATAATACATAAAATTTTAATACTTATAATAATAATGCTAATGGACAGCCTAATAAGAGTTAAAATAAAATAAATAATTATGAATAATAATGTTTTTATTGAAATTAAATAACTCAAATCACAAATAAAATTAGATTGAAAGCAGGAAAAATATGAAATAAAAGTAGGATGAAGCAAAGATAAAAGAAAAATAGAATGATTATGAGTTTTGGATAAAATTGAAAAATTTGCTTCCTACGGAAACGCTGATATGTTGTGTATTCAGGATTTTTTCATCTGAAGTCAAATCTTAAGGAAGAATAGTCTAAGAATAAAAACAGGTTGAAAATAGGTGTTATATTTTGGCTCGGGTAAATTCGGAATACAGCTAAAATGTAGTTTTTTTCTTCCTTAATGAATAGTATACTATCCGAAAACCTACTTGCCTTTGTTGTATTATAAAACGAATGATTAAAGATTTTTTATCAGTAATATGATTTGTTAAAAAAAGAAAATCTATTTTTGCCATATAATAAGCAAGCTTGAAATGACTAGTCGTTTTCAAAGTTGTAATAAATCTTATTCAGTTCTGCGAAATCCTTCTACGAGTGTAGATAAATCACATCCAATCCATAATAAATTAGTCAATAACCATTGAGTTTTGACGATTTTCATGAATAAAAAAAAATAGGTGCACTCGACATCAATCATCTAAAGGGTATCTAAAATCAACGCAAAAATATGGATGCTTACAAGTATCGATATCATATCACGCATCCCTTCTTGCAATAAATGATCAGTGCTATCTATACATGGATAACTTTTTCCTCACTTTTATTTATGTGCTTGATTGACAGCGATCAGAAACTATTTATGCATCGCGTGAAATTGATATAAATATCAAATGTTAGACGGATGATCATTTTTTATTAGAAGCATTTATTCTGCATAACAGTTATTATTAAAGTCTTCTGACCTATATGTTAGACATTTATGCTACAAAGGAAAACTTTTTTCATCAAATATTAAAATTTATAGATTCTATTTTTTTTTGTAAATAAGTATTTACGATATTGAATAAATAATTAAATGATCGTTTACCAGTCTACCAACTCTATTAAAGACCTGACGAAGTCTAGTTACTAATTCTGATGTGAACAACTTGGAATTGGAAAAATAGCTACTATTTGTTTACGTTATCATTAATACTTGGAAAAATTTTAACAATTCAAAACTGCTTCCATCATGATAATTATTTTTATTTACCTTGAAAAATATATATACATTGCATTTATTTATTTTCTATCTTTAAACAATTTTTTTAAATAAAAATTGATCAAAAATAAGTATTGATTCTGAAACATGGCCACTCAGCACGTGATTCTATTTTTCTAACATTATTTTCAGCAAATGTCTAGATGACGAGACCATCGGTGGGAGGTGGGGAAAGAAGGTGATGATGACCTTGAACAAAGCTAAAAAAATGTTTAAAATTGGGGAAAGGGAAATGGAAGCACCAGTAGTTGTTTTCTTATTGATGTTTTTTTCGGATTCTATCTAATCTGCATTTCAAACTGACAGACGGTCACTTATAGTCTAGTAGAAACAGTAACAGTCAGATACAACTTTCTACCTAAGTAGACCTCATTCACAACTCTGACATTTTATTGAATTTCTGAAACTCCGAAACACCTGAATCTTGTCACGTCTCTTTTTTACAAAAATTCAGATAACTTTTTTACGATAATAAAATAATGTTATTATTTTTAATAGATAATCTTTTGTTTATATAAGTTTTTCCATGGTAGAATGCTCAGAATGCTGATGAAAATATGAAAAGTCTGATATGTCTGGTATAAAAATAAACTTTCGTGAAACATCTTGTCACGATTTTAGAATACTTTTAAGAACACTCATTCATATTGATTTTTATATAAAAGATTATATTATAAAAAATTATTCAATAAAAATAAAAATGATTTATAGCTATTGTTAAATTAAAAATTATTTTCCATGATTGAAAAATTCCATTTTCAAGATGATACAGCATTATATTCATTTTACTTTATAAAAGTAAACCCGGATGTAAAATATTAATGTATTTATCAGACAAGACCTTTTCACTAACTACATTGACGGCAATAGAGGGTTAATATGCCTATATTTGATTTTTTGGAATATTTTGTTGATCATCATTCGATTGCTGATTTTTCGTTACAATACCTATAGACCTTCGTTAAATTTACAATTAAATTTTATTGTTAGTATCTTTTGAATCAAATGTAATTGCAACACTGTATTTTGAAGTGTGTTGCAGTAAACACACATAAACGTGTTTAATGTTGAATGCCATCAACAAACTACAGAAGTCTTGTTTGTTTATGGCATTTAACATCAAACATGTTTATAGTGTTCACTGTAATTGATTTCTCTTTGATTTACAATGTAACGCCTGCATGTTATTATCGTTCGAAGATATTAAATGTAAATAAAACGAAGCTGAAATTTAGGATAAAAGAATTACTATGTGTTTTTGAATAAAAAATATATTTAAATACTCACAATTAATGGAATAATTATTTTGAAGAAATATGGCTATATCAGGTAATTGTTTCCTTCACTGTACTTTATCTTAAAAAAAACTATGCCTTATCTAAGTAGACAAAAATTTTTTGAGGATGATTAAATAATAAAAAATAATTTAATTATGAAGATTCATTCACAAAATAATTTGAAACAAATATTCAGAGATTTTAAATAAATATTCCAAACTACATAAATGAATGGCAACCATTGCTTATTAATTTTATATTTTGTATATTTTTTATTTTTATTCAACTAAAACAAAGTAATAAATTTTTATCAATTTTTTGAGGTAGCGAATTTCCTAACTTTACCCCATATGAAATTCACTCGCAACAAAATAGTAATGGCTCAGTTTGCTACACGAGTTATAATCGTCTAGTTGGAAGATGCAAACAAAGTGGAACGCAGTCAATTTTTTACACCAACACAGTCGAAGGAATTTCGTACATTGAAGTTAATTTTAAATTTTACTTTTCATTAAAATTGACTCAGTTCAAGTCTGGTATAAATGTCAATCCTTTGAAATAGAACAAGAAAAAAAAACATTGAATTCAAATAAAATATTTTGGCAATTGGAAAATTTATTGTCAACTCATATAAAATGACCGAACACTAAATTTAATTTAACTTTCCGATTTTATATTTTGTAAATGAAAATTCACTTTCAGTTAACAAGAACGTAAAAGGTATTATTTTCATTTCAGTTTATGTTTAAAATAAAAATAATCCAGTCTATAGAAGTATTATCTCGTTTGCACACTAAAATGCAGTAAGTAAATGAATACTTGAATAGATCTCTCATTATAAATGAAATATACTGCGTACATTTTATTACGTAGATCAATATCATAATATGTGTATAAAATTCTTCACATGAAAAATCAAGTTTTACTTCATTTTTCACATAATGACTAATGGAAGTTAATAAAAAAAAAAATGAGAACAAAAACTAAAATTAAATAGAATAAACAATTCATAGATATAAAAAAAAATACCCAAAGATCTTAATGAATTTAAATAATTTATTTTCGAGTGCATTCTCTAACAATAAATAGATAAAAGCTCTCTTTTCATCAAAGCGTTTCTTTAAAAAAATTTTGTTTCAGGCCAAAAACTTTTTTCCAACGTCGAGCTTTCACAAGCTCCAATATTCGTTACACAACAATTACTTTAGAATACGTTTGCAAAAAAACATCACCACAAGAAGATAAATTTGCAAGTACACAAAGTATGTGAATCGTAAAACAATTTTTTTTATATTTAAAACTGTCAGAAGAACGTGTTTTTGACCTCTATAAATTCATTAATTTTTAATTATATATTCTTTCATACATAATTCTTGTCTTGATATTATTTATTCTTTACTAATATTGAAGATATATATATATATATACTTTTTGTTATCTATCGATCGTAACGATTGTTAATTTAATTGAATTCATTTGTATTCACATGCATCGTGACGCTATTAATATTGATACCGAGAGAAAAAATTCCCTTTTTCCCACCGTTAACTGATAAATATCTCAGGGCATTGAATAATTACTACGTATCAACCTACTGCAATTGTTTATTATCCACAGACACATGGAAACGCATATATTGTTCTATTCATTTCTTCATAGACAAACAAATTTTAATGTCAGTTATCAAATAGACAAATTATAATTAAAAATAACGTGAGCTTTTCCAATACAATTTATCAATTCGCCATTTTTTTTTTTTTTCATTTTTAAACGACAGAAATAAAATTTTTCTTTCTGACAAACCACAAATCACTCGACAAAAAATTATTCATACAATGTTTTTAAATTCTTCTTTCAACATTTACAGTTATAATGAGCTCATTGCAATAAAGACAGCGTCCTAGTTGGATCAAAAAGCATTTCAAGTCGACGAAAGTTCAACACAAGGAAAGGAAAATTAAAGAAAGTGGAATTTATGTTTCAATGTTTACAATTTTTGTTTAGCTTAAAGAAACTTTCACAAGATATTTTTCTTCTTGATTGAAAGAATATTAAAAATAATTAGTTTCCCGTTAATGATTTTATATTTAATGTCGTTGTAAGATAGATTAAATAAAAAAAATTATAATAACAATAATAACTGAATTTAAAACGAATAATTAAAGCTCAAAAACTTACCCTAAGTTAGGGATTGTAAAATTTGCACATTTTGCACAAAAAATTTTCGTTGGCCCGCCAAACCAGCTCTTAGAATTATTTAATTAATAAATAAAGCAAAACTTTAAAGCACAGCACAAACTTAATTTACACTAATTTCTAATATTTTTTATAAACAAATATCTATATTATACAATATTCACCAATTCACCATAATATTTTGCAATATCAATAATTTACATATAATTTTATTATATATTTCATTTATTCCATTCAGTCAATTTTATATTAATTAATAAAGCGATATTAGTTAATTTTTATACAATAGATGTATAGAATTTTAAATATCGTTAAATATTTTTACATTTATTTAGATTATAATTTAATGAATATACAGTTTTAAATTGAATTTGAGATAATTTGAAAAAGACGAGGACTTGGGGATTTGACAAGTATCTGGATAGGAGTAGAAATGTTCAGACGCGGGCTCTTGTTCGCCAAAGGTGGACTGGCAGAGCGCGGGAGTTGTTGTACTACTCCACTCGCCAGCCCCGTCGTTACTAAGCGTGTCAAATAGGTAAGGGAGTCGGCGTCAGCGCACAGATTTTCTCCGCTTTCGCGTTTCTATCCCACAATCGTGACTTTACTCCTCACCAATCGGTTCTTCATATAAATACACTTTTTATTCAACGTTGAATTAAAAATTTAACTCGTCTGTTACACACTTTTCAAATTATCATTATAACTTTATTTATTTGCATAAATTTATTTCATTTTTTTCCTGCCCCTTTAAGGATGTAAGAGGGTTGATTTTTTCACGGTAGGATTTTTGAAATTGCGATATTCGATTCATTTTTTGTGATAAAAAATTTTATGAAAATTTCAGCACAATTGTGCCGCTAGGTTTCGAGAACTGTTAATTTGAAATTCATTTTTTTACACAGGCTCTTATAGAGAAAACTGTATTAACACTTAATAGGTAAATGCAAATTTAGCAAGATATCACGTGATCTCCATAAGAGCCTGTGCAAAAAAATTAATTGCAAATTAATACTTCTCGAAACCTAGCGGCACAATTGTGCTGAAATTTTCATAAAATTTTTTATTATAAAAAATGAATCGAATATCGAAATTTCAAAAAATTCTACCGTGAAATAAATTAACGCTCTTACCTCCTTAGTACAAATATTCATTCTAATCTTTTACTGTAGATTTTTAACATAATAAAAAAGGTTAAAAAATGTTTCAATCATACTTCGTTTAAGAACATCATTAACTATGGCATTGTTGCTTTGAGTGGAACCTACGCTAATACAGTCAAGTAAAATTAGCTGTCTTAATGATTGCAATCCGTCTCGCAATATTAATCAATCTTTTATTACCAGTGCTTTGTTAAAATACTATGATGATTGTAAGCAACTTTATTTCGCCTTGAACTCTTGAACTTACGTGTAAAAAGCTGAATCTACCAAAAATTCATCAAGTGATTCGCTATAGGAATTCCTAATATGTTGCATTAATGATTTTTAATTTATTTCCGTGGTAGTTCAAATGTTTAAATTGCTCTGAAAATATGTACATAAAAAGGAAGATTGTTCTTTGATTACTTTCTTGCCTAGTTAATTAATATAATTTGCTTTCATTGTGGGATGATAGGTATTTGTTTTACTTTTGCATAAAAATTACCAATATTACTTAACGCTTCGATATGAATACACTAAATTTTTCTGATTGAATAAATAAGTAAATTTATTTTTACAGAGAAAAGTTTTTTCCTTCTGCTAAAATCACGTGTTCATTCTGATGCGTGATAATTTACATCAAGTTTAAATCTTGGTTAGTCAATAATAGTCTTACTATTCGTACTGAGTATATTATGAGATGGATTTCAAGATTTTTTTAAAAGCTCAAGATAGTTGTTGAGATTCATGAGGAATACATATGTATTCATGATTTACAGGATAATTTAATACGGACCTTACTTTAACAGGTGTTATATTCCTGATGCAGATACTTCAAAAGCTCATACATTTCTGGCATGACCCTTAGTTCAACTCTGATAATTTTCTGCTTGAGAAGCTTCGAAATTTATTCTGTCTCTTTAGCATTCTAAGAAGACATTTCTAATCAACTCATCACCATGAACACATTTTTACTGTACTCAAGTTGACGTTTCTCGAGAGTCTTTGAGAGTGTGAGATACTTTGCGACATTATTGTTAGGTTAAACAGTCGTTTATTACATAAATACAACATTAAATTCGTAATTAATAATGTAATATATTGAATAATGAAAATTAGGAGGATTGGTCCCAGCATTTCTGTCTTCGGCAACATAGATGGCTGGATACCGTCGGCTGAGGGTCGCAATGACGCCATCCAATTAAATGAAATTGGGGTACTACCCGTGTATTCATGGGAAAATAAATACGTGCTTATAATTCGCTGAAAAGGGACACGAAAAATTATAGTGTTATAGGGATAAGTCTCAAAACTAAGAGATAGGCTGTATGTTCAACTAATTGTGTACAAGACAATGTACCGTTATGCTATCAAAGTTTAATTTGCAAAACAAAGTATCCAATTAAATAATAATTATTTCATAAGATGCATCTACACAAAGAAGTTAATCAAAGAATTAAATGATCATTAAAATCGACTCTACGTTATTATGAGAGACGACGCATACAAGACAGTGCACGCACCCTTGTGGAGGCGTCTGTAAGCTTTTTGCGGCTTAATACGACGACTGGTGGAATTCAGTATAAATTTATATCGCAATAACAGTATTGATAAAGAATTATTTAATTAATCAGCACAAACACAGCAGAATGTTATTGAGTTATTAATTAGTAGAGGATTGACCCCAGAACCGTTCGAATCAGTAACCCGTAGACAAAATTGTAATTCCAAGTTTTTTTAATGGGACCAGGGAGTGAGAAAATTTTCCTTTCCTTCTACTTTTTCAATTGTAACACCATTTTGTCGTCTTTTAATTTTTCTAATCTATTTATATCTATCAAATTATTATGAAAAATAAGCTTTCAAGTGACCGTTGGTCGTATTATTTAAATTTGCCTTGTCGTAATCTCAATAAATATAAAAACTAGCTGATTCTTACACTGTAAAAATATTGAGTGAAAATTACCCTCTTTCCCTTGTCTTGAAAAGAGAAGCAATTATTTCTAAAAATAGTAATTTTGGTGAAAACATAGAATTAGAGCTCCAGCTCATTTATCCAAGACAAGTTAAAATAACTAATAGACATTGAATTTCGTGTCACGTTAAAACAAGCGCTGGTACGAGAAATAAAACAGCATTCACGAGTTTAAGCTAGCTTAAGTGGTAAAGAATCCCACGTGTAAGTGGTAAGTCTGAGCTCGGTTTCTTGCAACAATATTGTACATACTGTATATATATACATATACATGTATATGGTGCATGTATGGTGTATTTGTCCAAAAAAATCATTCTCTACACATCGTAAAGTCGTTTATTTAATTTTTAGAGTTTGAATCCCAATTCCAAATAATTACCTACAATTTTATTACGTAGCCCTAAAAAATGAAATAGTTGCTTCAATTATTATTAACCATAAAACTATTATTATTATTTTTTATATTATACTAAATAGTTACAACTTAATTCGTGACCTCATAAATTTTAAAAATATTTTTATGGTAATAAGAAGTATTCGTCGCAAATAAACACTTACATTTACAAAAAAAAAAATTAGTTCTTTAGTGTAATTTTAATTCTTTTACAACTTCTTTGGAAATAGTTTTGTATTTAAATGCAAATAGGTATTTTTCCACTAGAGTGCTGTTAATTGATCGCAACGAGATGATCGTTGAAATGTCCAATTAATTGTGAAAACTTCTTTTTATTATCAAACTTAAAAAGTTTCGTTTCTGCTCATAATTTGTCTTATCATTTTCTTAGTTTCCGATTTGTTAAAAAGAAAAACTAGAAAGGAAACAAAAATGGTAGAAAAGTCACGGAAATTTTAATAATAAAGTATTCTATAGAAAATAAATTTTCAATCATGATATAAGATTAGAACAAAATCGAATGCCAAGAAAATAAATGTTCAAAAACAAAATATCAATAAAGCAATAAAAGAGATACTTATATTTCGAATTTATTTCATCATATTGTTTTTGAAAGCGCAATGTTTAAATTAAAGTAGATCATAAAGAGGTAAAAAATTGGAAGAGTATATTTCCGATACAGTTATTAGATCGTTCTATTATGAAATCTTATTATTTTGATATTGATTTATTTCTAATAATAAACAGATATTTTTTATATTAAACTTTATATGACTTTTATTGTAGTTTGATTGAATTGATCTTTAATAAAATTATAAACGATCTGAAAATCCTCAGTTTATGAATAAACAGAGTTTAAACTTTTGATGAAATGGATAAGCAGAATTTCAATCGTTCATCGGAAATAGAGGTGAAAATCAAGTCTGATAAACCACGATCATCCGTGTATCCACAGATACAACTTCTCTTCATTTGATTTCCATCGTTTGGGTTGTAACTTTCGTAATCTTCATCTTCTACTCTCTGAAATTCAGTACCATATTCTAACAGTTGCTAACCTCAACTCCAAGTATCTGGAAGAGTCATTTCAATTGAATTATTCCAAGTTGTCGAAATGTTTTTAGGTTTAAAATCTATAAAAACATATCGAACAAATCCTTTTTTATTCTTTATTTATAACAAAGATATTTTTTAGTTCAAATGTCAATAAATTTATTATTTCAATGCAGTTCTTTGTTTAAAGCTGTTAGAAGCCTTAATTAATATCATTGACGAGTAAATGGATGCACTAATAGAAAAGATTTGTAACAATTAACAGGATGTGTTCACTGTTAAAATATATTTGGTGACTATTCAAAAAGACTAATAATTACTAGAATACTAGTTTTATCATAACTAAGGAATTGTTAATGTAACAACATGCTATTTTTAATATTAAAAAACACTGTTTCTGCACTGCAAATCGTAGTGGTTGAATTTAAAACACTTAAAGTGTTTTAAAATGGCGTCATTTATTTGATTAACATTGTAGTCACTTTTTAGATGCTTGGAGGTGTCTAGTGTCCTGAAATATACCAAGTATTTTGGCAATTTGAGGGTGAATTAATT